GTTTTATTCCTTTGTTTTCACCTTGTTTTCTATCGTTTTGTTTTCTGCAGCACTTCTATCTAGTGTTTGTTGAATGAAACGGCGCACTTGGCTTCAAGGGACGGAGGGGGGGGGAGTCATTTTGCAAACTGCTGCAAATATCTGTGTGGCCAAAATGTGTTACGAATTTAATTATCAAACCACTTTCGGCGAACACAGAATCAACAGTTTTACAAGATAGTGGGGAACGGGACGGTTACAGTACTTCAAACGGGAGCAAGAAGTGCACAGCACTGAGTTTTCGGCGAATTTATCGGTCGCTTCTGTTCCCTGACCTCACCCCGAAGCTTCTTCTTACCTCACAGGCTGGTAACCGTGTGCCCAGTTGCGTGTATTCACGGAGCCTACACATCTAATTTCACGCGCAATTTCCGGGGCATTGTATCCCGCCTGTTCTCTTAAACTTACAGTCCCATCCTTCCTTGGGCTTAGGCAAAATCCTCATACCCTAGCTCATAATCGTTTCTTGGTGCTTTCATGCACTTAAGATCGTCTAACAGAGAAAGGCGTGGAATTAACGCTGACAGATCTATCACACTAATTTCTGGGATACAAGATGCACCCGTTCGCACATTCGCCTCGACCGCCGATCCAGTTGAAAGTTTAAATTATGCAAAAAAAGACAGGAACTTTTCTGCTGGCCACTAGCAAGTTCCCGTGAGCGTTGTCGCGTGAGTCACCTCCGCCTTTTCAATGAGTGCCCCTTATTCTTCAGGAGATAGGGCATGGTGAAGCTTGAGATGCGGGTCCGATTCACGCCTAAGGTCAAATCTTTTTTTACCCATAATTTGGCAGTCCTGTGAACGTTTTCGTAGCTTCATCGGAGGTTATAGGTTTTCACAAAGTGGCCAGCGTGATTACAGAAAATTGGACGATCCCCTTGAAAAGCGTCACAAAAGGGTTGCTCAAAGCATTTTTGTAAGAGTTATTTCTTGTAAAGTAAAATCAGCTATAACAGAGGTCGCCATGATCAACGAGTTGAAGTAAGCACCTTTCCCTGAAGAGGTATTTTATCATCGTTTGCTAATATGCCTAGCTCATTGTAATATCTTTGAGTGGTGTTTTACCCTACTGTTTTGTTGACATTTGCATGCTTTTTATTTTGAGTAGCCAGTTTTTTTTAATCAGTTTGCCAATAGAATTGATATCAGAAGTTGCTGGCCTACCTTTTGACTCCAAAAAAGGTGATCTGGCATCTTACTGTAAGTTAATTTTGCACTGGTTAGTATTGGAGGCGTGGTTAAATGCTGATTATACGATTACCTGAGAGGTGGACATTTGGCCGTGTTCAACTTGGGCAGGTCCGCAACTGCAGGAAACACTCACTTTTCTTGAAAGTGCCTGAAAAGGGTGGCCAAGGTTCATGGTTGTTCTATTTTGCTGCTGCCTCCGCCATCTGATGTCGCCCCGCGCGCAGTTTGTCTGCGTGCTCTCACCGACGCGGTGCTCTTGGTTAAAACCCCTTTTTCGTGGTGATTTCGGACGCCGATTTTCAAAAAGGGCTTCACCGTGCTGGCAATCAATCGCTGGACATAGCATGTCTCGTTGAGGAACTGCGCAGCACGAACGCCCTCCTCTGTTTCGTCGGGGAGTATGCGTGAGGCAAAATTTTTGACAGAGCGGAACCCCTCTCAGAATTTCTTCTCCCTGTGGGAACTCTATTCACACTATTTACTACATCTTCCTGAACTTCACCAACTTCCTACCACTTTTCCAGTTTTTTTTTTCAAAGCTCCTTTTTTCCCCAAAGAAATGTCGAAAAAGCGGTAGGTAAAGCGCCTGACACCGGAAAAAAAAAGCGAGAACAGTTTTCCCTAAGGCAATAGGGTCCGCTCCCTCCAGCAGTCAGATGCGACCCTGTCCCTTGGGGATCCCCAACGTATTGTGTGTCCTGGTCATCACTGGCTGGAGCACTCAAAAGCACCAATCATTCAGAAGCCTCAAGGTTCTGGCAGGCACTTTCAGGAGAGACAGGTGATAAATTTCTGCGGCAGTGGTCCTAACTAACCCTACCCCCTCCCTTGTGCATAGAAATATCCCATCTCTGAGGTCATCATGCCAATCGTCTGCAATGGTTTTCTTTAATCTTGAAGTCTCGGGAAGACGCTAGTCAGTAAGAGGCTAGATCACCTGCAAGTGTGGGTAAAGTTTTGACTACTGTGCATGGATGGCATCAGTGAGCATTCCTGCTTAATCTGGATTTTCTGCTGATCACATTTTAAATAACATTTTTCGAGGTGTCAACATCCCGATCATCACGTGGAGAAGATGAATTACACGCGTTTGAATTCGTTCATAATCCCAAACGAGTGTCACGCTTCAATTCACGCCTCTGCGCGGCTTCAGCATCGACGGGCTACGCAACAGGATCTATTTCGAATCCCGTTACACCTTCCGATGCAGTTGTCCTTCCGAATCCAGGCCGCGTTGATTCCAGCAGTTTCACATCTAATCCGATCCTTGAGGTGGAGGAAGTATCGTCATGGAGGGATAGTCTGCAGAGATGTCCTCTCTTACGACATTCGTTTTCTCATAACTTTAGCGATGTGAGTAGAGCTTAGCAAACTCGTTGTTCTGGAAGCAGTTGGAGTGCAGTACCTATTCATGGTTCATATGCATCTCATCCAGGTTTTTGGGTTACGTCCGTTCAAACTTCACTTGAAACGTGAAATGAACCCTCCTGCTGCTCCTGATCCTCTCCATGAGGAAGCGACTCTTGTCGCTGAAGATCATGACGTGAGCCTAGACGTTGTGGTGATGCCGTCATGTAGTAGTGACGTGATGAAACGAGCTGTTATTATGTAGTGTGTGGTGTTGTGTGCTGCGGAAAATTTCAAAGTTTTCCTGCTTGTCAGAGCTTTTCTGTTGCAGAAATCGAGAAGAACCCATCTTCACTCAAGAAACTTCCGGAATCACAGCGCTCAACGGCATGTTCCTTCTTCTGCAGCGGCAAGAAAGAGCAGTCAACAACGGCGACATCGAAGAACAGGTCAGTTTCGCTTTGAAATGTTAATAATAAACTTGTAAAAAATTCTGAAATAATTTGCCTGCGGAATGGTTGATAGGATTGGGAGCGCTATGTACCATGTACCATTAGTGCCCTAGTTTTCAATAGTCGGAAATAAGTCTTCAGGAGTAGTTCGGAGAAGTTTCCGGAACGCGAATATCACATCCGCTTAGCCTAAAACTGCCTATAACAGTGACCCCCTCGACGCAAATGTTTCGTCCGTGCATGCTTGTTTTGACTTAAGCGCGTGTAGCAGGGACTCTAGTCGGTTTTGAGCCGAACGGTGTGCTAGGGCAGTGGGAAGAATAGGCGAAATACGGCAGCATCCATCCTAGTTGCCTGTGATAGTGGTCCTCCTCTTCGGTGAGGCCAGCCGTGGCAGGGGAGGGATCACTATGTCGGTGTAGGGGCAGACGAGTAGAAGCAGGTATCACGTATACTTCCTTTATACCATGTTTAACCTGCTTGGCACCCCACCTCTAGTTGTAACATCCATGTCCAGAAGGTCAGACTACCCATGGGAATGAGTCTTCAGCGTGTGTGGTGATTCAAGATGTTTTGGCGCTGCGGCCTATGGCTCCAGGCGGTTTCGAGTTAAATTGATAATCGTGCCAGGAGGACAAACTATCTCTGGGGGCAAGTTTTTGGCGAACTCAGTGGTTCAGGATATTTTGGCGTCGGTCCCTATAACGCGAGCACTAGGCTGCTCGCGTCAAGCGTTCAGTGATATTCGTGTTCAGGATTTCAAACTATCCTTGAGGCGAAATTCTAGCCAAATCGGCCTTCGGAAAAAAGAGTAGCTGAAATATTTTCTCGATTCCGGATGAATGGAGTAATAATGGGTGAACAATCCGAAGTTACAATCGGCCAAGTTAAACATAACAGGTTACATGAAAACATGAGTCAGCTGCTTGTAGGCCTTCGAAGGAGGCGTTCTTGCCGAAATGTAAGACTTAATCAAGGGCCCAACTATATAACCTGTTTGATGGCCAAAAACAGCATAAAGTGGATGTGTATTTATGTGCTTATTACTTTTCAGATTCTTTGGAAGGACCACGGGCATCATCATCTGCATCAGCCTGCTCTTCTGTGACGTCAGGTCATCCTAGTGACGACGGAGACGATGACTCGACCAGCTGTATTTCACAGCTGAGCAATCTTTCGTGTGGACCACCAGTTCCACCAAGGTTTCCCTTTAATTGGCTCATTTCGTCTTATACACTAGGCTCTGCAGGTCTCAGTTTTATTGATTTCATTTTAGGACTCGTGTTGGACCGCAATATTCTTCTGCATCTTCCTCTACTGGTGTCCCCGTGAAGCGACTAGCTGTGGTATGTTACTTGTTCAAAAGAAACTGCTTACTTACTTACGTGGATCCTGGCCCTTGTCGTGTGCAATGCGAATGGGTTCGCAGTTGTAGTAGCGCGCCGCTTTCTCTTCTCAAAAGTGCACGGGAACAAGGCTGGACGAGATTGATACCCGGGTGTGGTCTACCGATTCCATCCTGCTATCCTCAACATGCAGCGCTTGTGTCGATACCAAGTTTTCCCAAGACACACACGCACACTCAACAGCAGAGAACAACCAGAAGTGAAAGCAAAGACAAGTAGCGCGCCTGACTATGGTTAGGAGTGTGATAGCGCGTGCGAAGTCGGGGAAATGGCTCCTGGGTATCACAGCCCACCATCCTGTTGCTCATTAGAGCGAAGGAAAGTGGCTCTCTGCGGCAGCTGCGAATCTGTTCTCCTCACCTATGGCAAGCACCATGATCCCATGAGGTGAGGTACAGTTTTAAAGTACAAGGTGAAGGACCAGTCCATGTACAAGTCAGTGTTTTCATCCTCCCACATAAGCCTGTTACCGGTAAGTCAGACAGAGTCTGGGGCTGACCCGGATGGTACAACCTTCGGCTGGCGAGCAAGGCAGCCTAATACAACCAAATTCTTCTTGCTTGCTCAAAAAACATGCCAGTGTTCAGTAATGTTCGTATTTACTCCCCCCCCACCTCGATAGACCTGTCTGCTCTGGTGAGTTGCAACTTGACGCATGACGACCTTCAAACAATTAATCCTTTTATTATCAACCATATACTGCCGGGCCTCTTTATCGTGCCGCCAGGTTTGGGATAATTGCAGGATTAACAGACTCTTACAGATAGGGATATGTGACAAAATGATTGAGGCAGGGGTGGTGCAGTGGCAAGTTCCGCCGTTGTCATATGCGCTGTTTGAATGGTCAAAGAGTCGAATCCTTGGTCGGCCTTTGCCCGGGCTAAACGAGATCAACAGAAAGCGAGAGAGTGCAGACAAGTAGCGGGCTTGGCTATGCTTGAGCGGCACGTTGCATACCGTGTGTTTTGCTTGTGGACGAAGACCAAATGTGTCTAGCTTTTCCTACCCTTCAGCTTCATTTCAGCGCTTTTGTGAGTGATGTAAGTGGTATTTTTCTACAGGGATGCACCTGTTTACCTCCCACAAGTTATGTATTTCAACGCATCCAATGCAGCGAATCCTGTCGTACTTTTTTCTTCGCTTTCTGTATTTACCCTTTACAAATTGCGCCTGCCTATAGCGAATAGCAGCTTTATTTAATGACGAAGATATAATACACGTTTCCAGGACCATTTATCTCATATGGGCTCACCGCCGACTCGTAGCCTCATCGATGAAGTCATGGAAAATGACAGCAGCGGTGAAACTATAAAGTTGTGAGTAACATTATAGGTCCAGCAACAAAGTTGGCTTCTGTAAATTAATCTATTTAAGACATGGAATTGGTCGGTACGCGAACTCTGATGGCGGTTCTCGTTATGGGTCAGGTTTCCTTCCTCCAGCTGTAGACCGATCAAACAAACCTGCGAAGTTACGGCTATATGATTACGAAGAAGAAAAGGTCCCAGAAGAAATGACCATCCATGGGTACAATAAGTAAGTAGATACTTCTAAAATTTTCGTTTGCTGTATGTTGAACGTTGTCTGTAATTCCCTCAAATGCAATCGACACCAACACAGGAGCCATTCCTGGCTTTTTTCTTCACATTTTTGGCAGCACTATGCAGAAATGAACGTTGATTTTTTTTATATCATACATCGCACCGTCCGTCTCATCGGGGGCGAATGTGAGCAGACCATCTTTAAAGACAAATTTCGTGATTTCATTTTGTGGTTCTCGAAGTACAAATACGAATTGTAAATGCCCATCGGTTGACTATCAGAGAAGGAAGTAGACAGAACCCACCGAAGTCGCGGAATGAGGCACCAGGATTAGACGAGTATTTCAAAGGCGAGGCACTGCTTGCTTAAAGACACCTGGTACGATCACACATAGTTTGGGTGTGTGTGACTATCAGCCCCCCCCCCCCCAGCTGTCGAAGCGTAGCGGTTTCCCCGTCCTAACATGCGCAGGAATGGAGATACAGGACCGTGAAACACGCTAATTCCTCCATGCTCCGCAAAAGCCATTGCGGAGCATGGAGGAATTAGCGTGTTTCACGGTCCTATCTCCATTCCTGCGCATGTTAGGACGGGGAAACCGCTACGCTTCGACAGCTAGGGGGCTGATAGTCACGCACACCCAAACTATGTGTGATCGTACCATGTGTCTTTAAGCGAAAATTAGAGTTAAAGGATGAGAGAACGGAAAGTTAAACTGAAGGAGTGGGCACATCCTGTCGTTGGGGAAAATCTTGCAAAATATGACCTTGTCTCCGGAAATCCACCTCCACAGGTGCGGTCCTTTTACCCATCCCACTTTCCACCTCACTCAGCCTCAGGGACGTCCTTCTAAATCCCCTTCACTCCCTCCCACTCTACTCCTCCTCTAAAAAAGGTGCCCGACCGCACGGGGAGCGTAGTATATTGCATTTGAAACGGGAATAACTGAGAAAAATCACCACTGAAGACGTTTTTCTCGGAGACTCTAGCTGGGGATCGATCCCCAGGTACGACGTGCCCTGCTGGGGCACAGAAGGGTTTCGCATAGAATGACGCAAAACAATCACACCTGTGCTTGTGGGCAGATGACCGCCGATATATCTCTTGGCTAGTTGAGTGGGGTAGTGCGGCGCCTTTGAAGGTGACGCTTCTTCGACTAGCGAAGGCCTCAACACTCTCCTTACACCGAATCCGTAAAAGTAGGATAACTTCTGGGATTGCGACCGAACTACTTCTAACAAGGGAGGTCGTTCAGGGCGTGGTGCGCTTTTCGAAAACGGTTTTTTGCATATTGTGGGGGCTCATGCAAGGACCTGAAAAGTGTGCTTCATTTTCGCTGCGCGCTTCCAGGAAAGGTAAAAAACGAGTGAAAAGAAATCTGTGGAATCTGCTTCGTTCTGGGCCTCTATGCGGCGTAGGTCACTTGCAACTTTGACCAGTTGCTGAGTGGGGTCCTTATAAAGAGGGCCGTTTGAATCGAAGCGAAAATCGCCGTAAGTGAGCTTCCAACTTGGGTCATGTGCTCAAGGGTGAACGGCTTCTTGCAATGGTTTCATCAACGATAAGAGCGCTAGCATAGTCGAGCATCGGATGGCCTAGCGGATAGAGTGGAGGTTTCGCAATCGGACAGTGAGGGTGGGGTTGATGGTTCGGCTCCCCTTGCGTCGCGGCTTTTTGCATTTTTTAGATTTCGCTGTTCTCGCTTCCATTAGTGTCTGCGCATGAATATAACTCGGATATTTGCCATTTATGGGCACATTCTGAGTAGCTGTACCTCATGAGTCAGTGCTATTCAACTATTTCGATTTTCACGCACCATTGAACAAGGTTGTTGCTGGACGTTGTTCCTCATAGGCTATACAGTGGATCTGATTGCGAATTTAGTAACTTGTGTGGTGTCAATTATAGACAATTTGGGGCCACATCTTTCCACTGAATTCGTTATGTACCAATATAGGGAACGTTCAGCGCTATTCTGTCGCCAAATTGCGTGGACGCCAAGAATAGGTGTTATATTTGTGATCAGGGCCACTGATTACCACTAAAAACAAATTTTCAGTCAAAACAATTGTTTTGACCTTCTTGGGTTTGCTTATTGGGTTGTCCGGTGTCCGTAGCGTCAACGATACTTCATCGCTGTTACGAAGATGTGAAACTCCGCTCACACTGCCGACCAAATGGTCGGCACCTACAACCCGAAAAAGTCAAAAAAATTTTTCGCTCAAAACTTGCTCCTAGGGGTAATCGACAGTCCTGATCACGATTCTAGACTTTATTTTCGGTTCCAGTGCCATCTGGCACCGGCATAGCGCCGAAGAGCTGAGTCTGTGCATACTAACGAATTCGAACGAAAAAGCAGTTTTGCTCCATAAAAGTAGGATTGTTCTTCATCGTGAATGTTTTTGTTAGGACCAATTATTTAGACAAACATGGATCCAAAAAATGAAAAATTGTAGAAAAGCAAAATTTTGTCCTCGGTGGGATCCGAACCATCGACCTATTTTTTTTTTTTTATTCGTAGAAGCGCGCAGCGAAAATGAACCCTCACGCCTTTGTCCTGGTTCTTCGTATTGTGCTTCGCTACAAAATGCAACAAGACCATCTTTGAAAGCCTCACCACGCGCTAGAACGACCGAACTACTTCTAAGGCGAAGTGATTGTCACCTTTGGGCAATGACGAACTGTGACTTTAACGTGGCTGGTCGATCCATTTGGTAGTGAATCATTTTGAGAAATTAGCCATCGGTTAGTGCAAGGAAGTCCCGATCCGGATTCTTTTCTTTTTTATTCGCGAGGGCGACGTGTTTTGATGCAGCCAGAGGCGATTGCCGTGTAATAGCTATCCAGCTATAAAAGAGACCGATGACTGTGACGGCTACTGGAGAAGTCACATGAGGCCATTCTAGTTTATTTGAAAGGTAGCTAACATGTAGAAAAAGAAATCGGTATACTCAAAGGGACAATGTCTTTAAGGAGAAGGATTAATTCTTTTAATTTAGGTCAGGTAATAGCTTTACGCGTACTCCAAGAACACCGCAAGGAAGAGCTGGTCCGAAGCCTAGGGACATGCGAGAACCACCCAAGGTAAGGAATAGTTCTTACCGAATCCGATTGTTTTTTCTGTGCTTGCTGCTGTACTCAGAAGCGGCCATCACTCTGAAAACAACTTCAAATATGTAAAGTTAGCCTCGCGGTTCACTACCGATGTCGGCTGTCTAGCTTATCACACTAAAACTAGAAGTGCTGTAACGCTGTGACCCAAAAACCATTGAGCAGAGAGGGTAAGAGTGTCCCCGGTGGTGTAGTGGATAGCGCACTCGTTCGGTCAGCAGGAGATGGGAGTTCGAGTCCCATCTGAGGCCTGACTCTTGCCCATCACTTAGCACTCTGTGATAACTTTCGGAGTGCGTGCACCGGCGTTGAGTAGCACTTATCATTCCAAAACAGCTAATGTCAAAATTTCAGTCTGCTGGACCGCTGGGCCGATCGCGCGAGCTCGACTACTTCAATCCAGTGCCTCTAGACAGAGCTCATTCTTTGCGAAGTCCAGCTCCGTCTGATATTGAGTATATAAAAATAGATGCAGAAAAAACCCAGGTGGGAAATTATTGAACGTTACGGGTGGTGATTCTTCTCTTTTAAATCTATGTTTTATTATTGCAGGCAGTGAAACAGTCCATTGCTCAGCGGGCCACTATCGAATGATTTACTGTTGTTTCCTCTGGGATGACTGTGACTAAAATAGAATTTTCTATTTTTTTTGCTGTTTACGTCTTGTTTTCAGTAGATTATGAATTTTTCATTATATATGATTTTTGATATTTCTAATCCGTGCCAGTCAATCTTTCCTGCTTATGTACAGTAGCGTATAGTTTCTTTTCGATGGTATCGTCCGCTGAAATGTGTTGTTTGTTGGACACATAGAACTGGGTAATTTATCCCCGTTGAGAGTCATCTGGGAAGTTCCCGTGAATCTTTAGATGAAAAACTCGAAAAAAAATCGCTCCTCTAGGACGGGTCAGAGACTTGGGGCGTGGCCTGAAACCATTTTCTTCGGCTGTACTAAGGACGAGGGAGGACATCTGGTTTCCGTGGGCGATGCCGTCGATTGTGTTATGGAGGATGAGCTAGCGCGACTCATCCTAGGAATCTGTCTCAGCGATCGAGCTTTTCTAAGTCGCATTTATTTGTTGACATATTCATAGCTTCTACTCAAAGAAATGCTTGAGTAAGAGGAATTAAACGATAGAAAGTTGTGATAATTGTATCTGTGATCATATCACTCATAAACTATTCCGCCGTTTTTGGTGTCATATCACTCATAAATTATTTGTCCCTGTTTTTCTTTATTGCACTAGGCGTTCGGTCAAGGAGTACAAAACTATACAAATGAATGAGTAGGATGAGTACAAAAATCTTTATTCCAAGTGATCATCCGGGCAGTATTGACCCGAGAATCAAGGTAGACCGTTCGAGTCAAGCTACATTCCACGTTGGTCGTGCGGCCGGATCTGTCACTGTCCCTCCCTTGTAGGTGCGCCCTTTCTTTGCCGTCTTGGGGATATCAATATCAGTGGAGAACAATGAGTGCTGGGCAGGGTACTTTGGCACAGTTCTCGACAAGGAGTACCGTACTCCAGTCTTTAGATGGAGGAGGGTGTCGTTATTGATGTCTGCTTCTGGTGTGGAAATCCTGCGGAAATGGAGAAGTTTTGGCGCATTTCGGCTAGATGGGGGTGCGAAGTGGTACTCTGCTAAGCTTGTGCAGGCTAACTTGTGAAGAACTGTAAGTTCCTGAAATCAAAGGAGCTCACTTGTGCCATTTCGCTGGTTCAGAAGAGTGTACAGGTACCGCCAAAACGAGACGTGTTAGTTAACTTGGACCCGAAAAAAAGGACCAGCGAGTGTGCAAAATGCCCTTCCCAGGCCGAACGAATTTGTACTGTCCCCTCGCTCCTCGGAATGATGGCAGTGTGGTGGGTAACGTTATGTTCAACG